CCTGGCAGGTGTTCTTAGTGTCGGGGCGTTGTGTCGTCACTGACGAGAGCCCGGCGTCAGCTGGGTTCGACACGGAACGATCCCGAGGTGCATGCAGGCTTTTCACACGAAAGGGAATCCACCGCAATGTTTCAAAAGCAAAGATTCAGTTATTAACTGAACATTCTTCGACAGAGGCTTAACAGGTAAAACTGTCGATTTCAGTGTTCTCAAGCGCTGTTGGTAGGACAGTTTGACTGTTTAATTATGGTTGCTAGGGGAGCACTTGGCACCAGGATCGAAACTTTACGGTTCAACGGAATTGGTCATTCATGCCCAGAAATTCGGATTGATAGGGGAACATCACATCATAGTTTTTGTATCTGACCGCAGCCGACATAAGATAAGCCGGGCAACCTGAGTGGATAGAAGCTTGGTCCATTGGAGGAGGATTCACACGATTTGTGGTTGGTAACTCTCGCGAGGAAGTCAAACCCGCCGAAGTTGATGGTTTAATCGGCTCCCGTCGAAAGAGCCGTGAACTAAGTTTGTAAGGATTACTTCTATGGCTCCCTATACAGAAAACGGGAATAGGAACGCCCCGTCCAGGTTATAACGGCGGTTTTATCGCAGTGGTTTAAGTTACCTAGGGGAGACCCTAGCCGCTGCCATCTTCAGACCCGGTTCCGTGTAGGGAGAGAAAAAGTGGGACGGCAGGTTGGAGGAATAGTATATTCTGTACAGTGCTAGTGGAAAATAGGTTGGAGGAAGTTTGTAGCCGGACGAGTGGGTGTCCGCAGCCGCGAGGGCGGCATCCGAGGTGTGAGAGTGCGGAAGTCGTCACAGCATCTCCGGCGAGGTCGTGTGTGAGTCAACCTCACCGGATTGGGAGCGGCGGACACTAATGCGTACGTGCTAGCAGCCGAGAGAGGCGAGAGGTTAAGCATTGCACTCGGAGTTGGGTTACTGCAGTCTTGCGTACGATTCCAGGAAGGATAACTAGCCATTTACCCTAACACAAACCCTAAACCGTTGCCTTAGTCTTAATCCTTACCCTAAATTTAACACTAACACAAGCCTTAAACCTATACATTACCCTGATCCTAACCCTGAACGTAAAACTAACCTGAATTACCCTGGGATTCAGCACAAAGCCACCTGTACTGCGGATGGTTCCTGGTCTTGCGTCCTGTTTCGAGGGCCATTTAAGCTATCCTTACCGTTGAAAGATAACGTCACTTCTTCTCATTGCTGATGCGCGTTTGGCTCACAGGTTCCGGATACATCTTACTGTTTGTCTGATGAAGCTAAGCTGTCCACATTTGCATCGGATCCGCTCACTGGCTCTAGTCGTTGCATAAAATATTAGCGAGTTTTTTGATCTTACCAGCTTGCATTTAATGCTGGCCTGTGGTCTGTGTACAGTCCTAAGTTCAAGTGGTCTTAGAAGGGAACTGATGGCTACTGGGGAGTGATTTTTAAATATAACTTCAATGTACTTTCGCCATCTCGTTCTTCAATGCGTCGGTTTGGGAGTTTACTCTGATAACCATTCAATTTTAGCACTACTCAAATTTATTTTTTACTTCGGCAGCCCTGTTTTCCACTTTGCTGCAGGGCATCTCAAAGTGCCGATGGCGTGCTCTTATGGAAGTGCATTTATAGTTGATTGGTTGGTTGCTGTTAAAGCTCCATATTTGCGTCGTATTTGCCCAAAACGTCACAAAAATACTTGTATTGATTAAGCCATCAGATTTTCTTCCTCTAAAGGGCTTTCCGAAAATCGATTTTGTTTCTGGCACCGGAGAAGAGAACTTCCCGCATGCAATTAGAAAGTGTTAGTGAGTCTACTTTCACCTGTCACGATACTTCGTGACAACTATATCCCGATAACCATAAACTTGGGTCTATGGAACACTGTTTAACTAACCAAATCATATAATGTAGGCAGGGAATCCATGCATAAAATGGGCATTGGCAGGACAACAGATTTTTGTACGTGGATTAGTTGAGTGATGATTTCCGGTATCGCAAGCAGCTTGGAACTATTTGCCTTAAAGAAAGTATATGGTCAGGGAAATTCTGTAACATAAGATATCGTTCACACAAATTTCTGATCTCACATTTCTTAGATCGGAGCTCAGGCCTAGCTCGAGGCAAGACAGACAGGTGTTTCGCGTTCTGACGTCATCGAAGAGGGAAGTGCCGAAGAAAAAGTATAAGAAGGAGTAGAAGAAAAATAAGGAGCACGACTAACCACCTCGTCTCTGCGTCACATGTTAGGATTTTGTGTCAAACCAGGTGACCGTACTGCTAGCAAAAAGAGCAAAGTGCAGTCACCTTGACCTGTATGTACCCATTCTGCGCGTCCTCGCCGGGTATATATGCGTGACAGACGTGCCTAGTGCATGAAGAAACTCTCTTAATGGTAGGTCTTCCTCTTCTCTGGCCTCCTTGGTACGATGCTCTGATCAAAAAATGCTGATACTTGCACTTTGTAATTTCTATAGTAATTAAAAGTGCATGTATAC